TGCTGGCACACGAGTCCGCAAACACGAACACAGCAGCGGCGCTTATGCGGGAAAGCCGGCGAAGCAGCCAGGCGCCCCGCCGATGCCACACCGTGTCGGCTTGCCGACGGCGTCGCTAGGCTTAGGACGAGTACGGCTAAACGACCACCGGCGATCGCAACATGCGGCTCGCGTGGAATTTTCGTCGTCGTTACTTTATAGTCATAAATGAACAATACGTAAGTGTCCCATGTTCGCTGTGTCTTACCGAGTGATGTAGATATCTGTATACTTACAGCGACGAGACCGTGCCTGCGAATTTCATCGTGCTGGTAAGTCGCTCCCTGTGTACCGCCGGCCGCATGCACGATTAGTCGTATCCGCGATCGCCTACACGCTGGATTTTCGATAACGATTGTGCCCGCCAAACTGACCGCCATCAAAGATAGCGGTGTGCACCTGTCCCTCCACTGGCCTCCCTCGCACGTTGGAATAGCTGGCAACGAAGAGGAGGCTAATGTGATGTCACGTTATGTGTGATGTCTTGATGACGTCATGAACTGTGGATATGTAATGTCATGATGATGTCATCACGGGATTTTTTCGCACCATTTAAGCTGATGCCACCGAGGGCAACTTTTTGCATTTGATGAGGCATTTAAAGGGGTCCTGCAACACTTTTTGAGCATGGTGAGAAAACGCTGCTGATAGGTTGTAGAGGCTCCCGAGAACACGCGGGCGAAATATCATAGCACACCACGCAGAATGCAATTCACCGTAAATTCTCAAAGTCAGCTAAAAATTGCTTTCTCTTCTGTCGACAAATGACGCAGGAAGCTCAAAAATCACTCGTAGAAGGCCATCTATCAGCGATTAACTGATTTGAACATGGCGCACTCGGTCGTTACAGGGATCGCCGCAAGAGGCCGCGTCTTGTCCACGCGTGCGCGCGCGATCACATGTGCACTGAAAGAAAAAAAACAGCGTATTCGAAGAAAAAAAAAGAAAGAAAAAAGTGCTCAAGGTCACAAGGCGCACGTGGCGTCTTTTCTTTGTCCATGCCATCCCTCCCTGTTCAGCTTCCAGCGCTTTCGTCAGGGCAAGAGAAGAGGTAATGCGATTGCAGCGTGCGACAAATCTTTTGTAACTCCGCTCGCACTGGACGCATTCTTAAAACTTTTTGCGGCGTTGAAATCGTGAGCCAATAAGCTCTCTTACATAATCCATTCCATCGTTGTCTGTAAAAGTGGTTGCTGTAAATGCCTTCGCCTAAACAAAGCTAGGGCCGTGACTATAGCGGCTGCCTGAATGCACTACAACGCTGGAGCGATCATTCGTATAGAAAAGTCCGTCTCTGTTGGAATCCAAATGAAATCACCATCTTTTTTCTTACATAGTCGTTTGAGGAAAGATTACGTGAAATCAGGGTTGGTTCCCAAGTCAGTTAGTTAATTCGGTTCGATGACATAGTTGAACGTATACGGATGCCTCACGGAGAAATCGAAGTTTCTTCATTAGATTGGGAGTTTCGCAATATCGAGTTTCATCAGACCGATTTCTAAATCTTAATCTTCGCGAAAGCATTGTCTTCGTACACAAGTCCAAATTGTATACCGATATACATATGTGGTGAAATAGACGACCTGGTTGTTGTTACTAAACTTTAGCGGAGGTTTAACTACACCAATAATTAATATTGTTGCTAAGAACATACGAACCAAACCAAGAAACAAACAAGCGAAATGACAAATTGACAGATTATAAACCATTAAGCAAATAATAAAGTGTAAGCCTTTCCAAAATGAAATCGCATTGCCCCACGCGGTAGCAAAAGGATGATGCGCTGTGGAGAGACAGCGCATAGCCTTTTACAAGCACAAACACATATGCTGTATATATATTGTTACGACCGGCCCTAGGGAACCAATTGATTGATTGATATGTGGGGTTTAACGTCCCAAAACCAACCCCTAGGGAACCAAGCAAGAAGAGTTTGGGGGAGAACCGGTTCTTGACCGACGGGGTCGTCCACCCCCACCTCCCCATTCAGGCTCCTCCTCTCGCCGGGAGAACTCCGGAATCTGCTGTGCGTTCGTGACCATGTTTGGTAACATTTTAGGGCGCCGGGACCATATATGGACATCGTGTTAGGTTGTGCCACTCCATGTGTTGTGAGAGGTGTTTCCCCCTCCCTCGTGGCCGAGGTGCCAGGGACACCGTATTGGCTGACGATGCGGACAGTGCGCCCAGTGTCGGCAACGCGGCGCTATAAAATGCCGAAGACGTTTTGTATCTCTCACTCTTCTCTCTTTGGGTCAGTTGACCACTTCTCCACATGTAAATAAATCTCTGTTGTTCGTTCGGGCGCTTCTTCTCGCTGAATTGTTGGACGATGGATCCTGCGACGGGGCCAGCTACCGAAAACGAGACCGGCAGGACCCGGCGTCCCAACAATATATATAGTCTCGACTGGTCTCTATTACTGGCGTGTATACATATACAGCAAGGTAGAGATGTGCTCCCCCTCTCCCTCTCAGAATTTTCAATTTCGCAGGTGCCCACGCCCACATATGAAAAAAAAAAAAACCGCATGAACCTACGCAAAATTTGAGCCCCACTCCCTTCCCTGGCCCATGGGCACTATAGCTACCCACGAGATACTATAAGCCCCTGCATGGCCTCGACTATATATGCTCAAATAATACAGCTCATGGCAACATGTCAAAAAAAAAAAATCCGGACATTATTACGACAAACGCATAAGAGGTTCCGCTGCAAAGAATGAGACATAACATATCGGTTTCGATTCTAATGAGTGGTATATAGGTGCATTCCTACAAAGGTGCAAGGAATGCCGAAACGTCCCTGTAACTATATTGAATTACACGTGCGGCAACAGGCACACGTCAAAACACTTGTGTGCGCTTAAGGTTGTGTACTGTGTTAACTGGGTTGTAGAAGGAATAGAGTAGGGTAAACAGCAGCTCTGCCACTCCATTTGTCTGTACATCAATCACGCAATAACTCCTGTCTATGCGTATACATACACAGCGTATACTGCCACATGCATATGTGGCCCGTATTGCGAACGTATCGGTGTTGAGTGCTAATTGATTTCGAGGCAGGGAGACCCAGCTCATAGATCAGCGATACCGTCGCAAATAGTCATCAAATGCGCTGTTTGCTCGTATTTAATGATGAAATCTGCCCGAAGCAAGCTATCAGAGAGACGAAAATTGAGCCGCGAACACTCCAGGCCGTGGCAAGCCTTGCACATTCGGTATTTTCGTACTGCCGCTCGATGCGGCTATATCGATTAAGCCGAGCAAACAAAGCTGTAATCCTGAAATTAGGACCCCATTTCCTTTTTTCTAAAATGGAAATTAACGTCGTTCAATAGAAGTTCGTTGAAAACTACTTTGCTAGTATGTACTTTCTGTTTTCTTCCGAAGCAGTGATTGCTATGCAGCCAAAAAAAAAAAAAGAAGAAAGGCTGCTTTAGCGAGTCTCAGTTCTCTCTAATGCTAAGCGAACCGATCGTCAGCTTTTATCAACTGAAATGCGAGCTCGTTGCTTATCTTCTTCCAGGCCATGCGACGAGCTCATCAAATTGCTTGCCTAGCGAATCGGAGCCAGCGCCGCGGCGGCAACCGCACTCCCGCGACCATAATTACTTCATTGCACTTCATTAAAGATGTTTAGCGTGCGCTTTAAAACAAGCGCGCTAAGAGAAAATCGAAGCCGTCCTAATCGAAACCAGGAGGATCACCCCGTCAGCCCTCCTCTCGCTCAGGCTAAATATATCTCCCAGCTTTACCGCGCCGGCGGCGAGGCGATTGAGGCGCTTGATCGCGCTTCCGAGGAGAAAACCGCGCCGATCGGAGAGAAGAAACACGCGCCCTTTTGGCGCGGTAACGAGAAAAAAAACGCGCCAAAAGGACAAGGATCACATAAAAGGAGCGCAAAACTGGAGCACGCTCGCTGCGCGAGTTCTGGAACCGCCAGTCCGGTGGCAGGAAAACGTGACGTAGCCACGCCTCCCGGCCAATGGGGACAGCGCGGAGAAGCAACGGTAACCACCCCTGGCTTTCCTGCCTTCCCCACCACAGATGGATCGAAGCGTCGAGCCTAGCGGCGAGGCGTGGCACCCGTGGTGGTGAAGCCAGCCTGCCCTCCACCTTCGTCGCACTCGCCGTCGGCACGAGGTGGCACGCACAACGCAACTCGCGACGGGGCGAACAAGCGGCGGCTGTCAGCGCGCTGCTGTGGCTGGCCACGTGACTGCCACGCGCTTAACCCCCCTCCGTGCGCGAGGAAGACGGTCCAGGCGCGCGAATCGTGTGAGTTTTGAAAGTCGAGACGCGTTTTCTTCACGGACTCCCAATGACCCGATCTGAACGTAGCCTTTGAAATGCGTACGACCCGCAAAGGAGAACGATAGCGAGGAGAGCGATCATTATGAACGCTGCCTATGCGCAATTGGCCCTCTTCTTCAAGTGCCCGCGCCCGATTATCTACGATTGAACTTCGTCGCACTGGTTGGTTTCCAAGCGAATGCACTCAGCCGAACGTGAAGAGAAAGAAAAAATAATGAAATAAAAAAAGATCATTGCAGACAAGAACAGTTCAAGACTGGATTCTCCGTTTCTGCTGGCTGTTTTCGCACACCTACAAATGTGCCACAGGGGCCTGCAGTCCATCTAGAGTCGCATGTGCCGGTAGCTGAAGGCCTCGTCCAACCATTGCGGTGACATCTCGCTGCCTTCACAACAGGTATCCCTTTCGTGCTCTCGAACATCCCCGCTTCGAAGGCAAACTCGCCCGAAGCACACGTTCCGACGGCCACTCGTGCGAAGGATGTTGTTTTGACCGGCAGTGTCAGCAGGGAGCGACCATGGCTTGTGCCGTACACTCGGGCCTGCATCGACTGCGCGGCTGGGTAGCGCCAGGACCGTAACTCGCTTCAACGCCTTGGCGCATGCAGTAAACCCGTGTCATCGAATCTCGGCTGCGGACAGGCGATGAGCGCCGCAGCGACCACAGCAAGCGTTCAGCAGCAACGGTGCGCAGCAGACATGAGCACCCAGGGATCCCAGGCAACGGTGAGTACATGGACATCTTTGAAACTCGGAAAGGTATACGTCTGCTCAGGACAGGTCTTTACTTCAGAGTATACCAATTGAGAAAGTGATGTAACTATATAGAGGAATAAGAATCAAGTGGAGTGCATTTCGCAGATATATACCTATACTCTCAAATCCCGAACAGTATCCCTCAAAAGAAAGGGATACGTATAACAGCTGCATGCTACCGGCACCTAGCTGCTGTGGCTTATACGAAAAGGGTTCGACTTAAAACTGAGGACGACGTAGTGAGGCATGGAAAGAGAAATGAAGGTGTGACCCTATAAGGGACAACACGATAGCACGTGGTTGTTGGGGGAACCGACGGGTATTCAGGACATGTTAAGCCGAAATCAAGATGTGGGAAATCAGGGTAACTGCTGGTCACTGTAGTAACAGCTTCGATTCCAACAGAAGAGAAGTGCTAGAGAAAGGGGCAGATAGTTAAGTGGGCATTAGCCTAAGAAGTTTGCGGGTTCATAAGAAAAGCAAGCACGTCACCCGGTTCCATCGCCGAAACATGGCAGAGGCCTATGTCCTCACGCAGTCAAGCTGATGATGATGATCTTGGGCAGACTTCTTTCTTGATTATTAGATGAATGCCATACTTCTTACAGCAGTCCCAATGTCTGCATTTGAGTTGATTTCAGGGGGCGTGCAACTTGTCAGACATTGTCAGAATTTTTTTCGGGGGAGGGGGGGGGGAGCACCCTCTTAAAATGGCCATTTTTCGCTCCATGGTGAAAAAAAATTTCGGGAAGGGGGAGGGGGGCACGTGCTTGGTGTGCCACCCCCCTGGCTACGCCCCTGTAGAGGGGTATAGTTTCCGTCCAGAAGTAAACCAGCCGATTATGCACTCAAGCTTAGTAACAATTGTCACTTTCGTTGTGTTAGTTGCGGACGTGTTTTCAAAATGCCCGTTGAGGTACATAGACAATGGTTGCTTGTTCACGTAACTATTATAATGATATTCTTCATCGCTGTTGGTCAATAGCCGAAGCTACACGTCCACATTTTCTCAGGAATCGGCCTGCCACGAGTCGCGAAGAATCGCAAAAAGAATAGTATCAAGCAAAAAGAATTTCTTTTTTTGCAAGCAGCCCAACGAATTCATTGAGCATGTAAAGAAAGTTTGTTTGAGCATCCATTGCATTGTAACATACCACATAAAGTAAAATTTCTATAAACAATGATAAACTTACACCTTAGAACGTCGACAAATAACGTGGTTGTTATGGACCATGGGTTTCACTGTCAACCACCCCACAAGAGATAGAACACTAGTGGGACCTGCTTCGTATAAGATATGTGTATACTCGCAGCTTTTATGAGGTCTGAAGAATTCTCATCTGTGTATATAAGTCGTCCTGTGCTGCAGTGATTGGCAGACCCCATTTTCGGCTTGTAACTTCTACCTATAGACTTCGGCTAGCATCATTGTACGCTATATTGTACCGAGATCCCGCATGACAGAGCCAAAATAAACAATATTTAGTCAGACTCCTTCCTTTGAGCTTGTTTATCAAAGTTCTAATAAATTTCTGTGCAACTCATGCGCAGTATGAAATATTTAACAACCCCGTGCGCTTCATTTCCCGCCAATAAACTTCCGTAACTTCTGTGAAATACTGTTCTCATATGTTGCGGATAACATCGCCCCTATCAAGTGAATGCATGCTATAGCCTTTTACTTCTTACTTTTGCTGAAAGTGTAGTCAAGGTTGAAAAAACCATTCATTCATACATGAATTCATACAAAAACTTTATTCTCACTTATGTATGCAAGATTAGTTAATTTGGCACTCTTAATACTATACGCTATAGCATCAGCATAATGCAGAAGAAGTTTTCAATTTTTTTTTTCATGTTTCCGCGAAATGCAGTTTTCACACCCATACATCACACACACAAAAAAAAAAAAATCTGGTGCGTACACCACATATATGTGTTTATACTTCCATAAGGCTCATATGTTGGTCGTTCGTATTTAATGTTGGAAACCTCACCCATTGCCGTTTGTTTTTATTGAAATAAATGACTGTATTTCTTTAGAACTGGCATCTTTATCTATTCTGCAGAAGCAGGAACTTCGCTCCCCCTTGAAATACGGTGCTCTATGCCTATCGTATCGATGGTCACTTGGATCGTCTAATTCGTTGACTGACCTAAGTGTTACCAATGTTTTGGAAGCCTCTTCATGTTCTTCTTTTACCTTTAGATGAATAATTTTAAAGCCCTCTATATTTTCTCAAGTTAAAGCTATGTCATCTTCATATCGTAATTTGGTTACTTTTGCTGCTCTACACCACACTTTTTGCATCGAATATCACTTTCTTTCAAATCTCAGTTTCTAAAAACATGCGTGGATCTGCGTGTATACATGAAACAGACAGATGCCACTTTGGGGGAAATTTAGAGCAATCTGCATACATGCGATACCAATATTTGTCTCAACTTGAGCGTTTATAGTGCCAAGCACGGGTGAGGTACTGTAAAATTATGAGGAGATCGGTGATTCTCATTCATATACACAGAGAAGTTGATTGCTTTGTGGGGTTTAACGTCCCAAAACCACCATATGATTATGAGAGACGCCGTAGTGGAGGGCTCCGGAAATTTCGACCTTCTGGGGTTCTTTAACGTGCACCCAAATCTGAGTATACGGGCCTACAACATTTCCGCCTCTGTCGGAAATGCAGCCACCACAGCCGGGATTTGATCCCACGACCTGCGGGTCAGCAGCCGAGTACCTTAGCCACTATAGACCACCGTGTCGGAGCTACACACAGTTAAAACTGTGATTGGGGTAAGAGATAGAATCACAGACAATGTATACTACTGCGTAATACGCTACGTGAGAAAGTTACGTGAAGCTTTCGTTAACAGTGAAGGGTCTCACATGCAAGCACGAGAAATAATTGACATAAGGAAATTTTATGGCAGACGAAAGTGTTAAATGAAACACAAACCGGCGGAGAAAGATACAATGTGTGCAAGGCCTCACTCAGCCTATATTTTTATGCTGTACATTTGTTGCATAAAAATCTCTCATCCTGAGCTGGTATAGTGTAAACCAGGCGCGTAGCCAGAAATTCCTTTTTTAGGAGCGAAGCTCCTTAAGGCGTCGGCTGTGCGTCCCCTGTATGTAGCCACCTCTCGTTCAGTTCTTGCAGTGTTCACTAGATGGCGGTACTTGTAGCTGACGGCATTAAGTATTACGCTAGCCACCACCCGATCTAAAGGGTACAGCCATATCCATCCGTCCATCCATCCATCCGTCCGTCCGTCCGTCCGTCCGTCCATCCATCCATCCATCCATCCATCCATCCATCCATCCAAAAAATGCAAGATGTTATAAACTAGACGGCGGTACGTGTAGTTGATTATGAAAGATGCGAGGTGTTATAAAATAGGAATGATGCCACATATGGCGCGTGTCATCGTTCGATATAGTGCGGCGACGTACGCTAGGGGGAGCGTTGCAATAAAATCGAGTGGGCAAAATGTACGGAGGATTCATGGTTTACCAGGTTTACCTCCGGAGCTTCGCCCACTCATCATCATTCACTTCGTGGATGTGGCGGCACTTTTTTTTTTTGGGGGGGGGGGGGGGCATTTTTTTTATTCAAGGAGGGGCGCCCCTTAAAATCGCTATTTTTCGCTCTATATATATATGCCATGGCGAAAAAAATTTTGGTGGGGGGGGGGGGAGGGGGGCGCGTGACCGGTGTGCCACCCCCTGGTTATGCTTCTGGCGTAAACTGTCGATATTTCGGAAACTATGAATCCGTAATGGGAAAGTTGTCTTTTTCTTCAATCAATGACCTCATTTGTCCTGCTATGGCTTGGATTATATTTAAACCTTGCCCCGCCGCGGTGGTCTAGTGGCTAAGGTACTCGGCTGCTGACCCGCAGGTCGCGGGATCGAATTCCGGCTGCGGCGGCTGCATTTCCGATGGAGGCGGAAACGCTGTAGGCCCGTGTGCTCAGATATGGGTGCACGTTAAGGGACCCCAGGTGGTCGAAATTTCCGGATCCCTCCACTCATAATCATATCATATGGTAGTTTTGGGAGGTTAAACCCCACATATCAATCAATTATTATTTAAACCTTGAGTATACTGTTCAGTTTCGGCAACGTTCTTCTTCAGCCCTTCATTTATGCTTGCCATGGCCTTAATAGCAAATCAGAGTTCAGTTTTGCAGTGAACAAACATTTTCGATAAGTGATGATGTTATTAAGTAATATCGCACCTCCCTGCTTTCTCTGTTGTTCTGCCGTACGCAACGTAGTTAAACGTTGACAGCAATTTGGTTAGCGAGACTGTTCGTCAAAGTCTGATCGACGTGCGAATTTTTCCGATTCAATTTCAGAAGCGTGAGTGTGCTATGAAAAAAAAAAGTATTTGTTTTACAAGTTAAATTGAGTGCCCACAGTATACCATGACGTCACTACATGGTATAAGCTTTTCTCCACACGTGCTCGCGCACAATATTGTGACGTCACGTTTCCAAGGCCGCTGCGTCCTCCATCGGTGGCGCACAAGAGGCAACATTGAATTTTTTCGCACCGACGTCATCACAACTAGCAATACTGGTGCGTGAAGTGACAGAACTGATCCTATAGCCCGACATCATGCTAGTGTCGATGTCACTAGGTGTGCCAGAGTGAAAATTAACTATAATGTCAAAACGAAACACCTTATCGACATTTTGGGAGCTTCGCTCATGGTCACAGCCGCGTGTGCATAAAGAAGAATTGCTTGTCTAAGTAAACTCAGCAAAAAAATAAATAAAAAGAAGTACGGCAGCTCCGCTAATGTGAAACTCGAGGAACCCAGCAGTTCCCGTTCGTATAAGGGTTCCCACTGCTTCGTTTACCAAAGTGTACACAGATGGCGCCAATGTTTGAGGCAAGCGTGCGGGGTTTGACGAGCAGAATATTAGGGAGTTTTATAGAATAGCGCACCGCGAGCCCT